AATAATAAACAACGTACAGATAACCTTGAGCAATAAAAAATTCCGGGTCGACCAAGATTCAATATTATAAACGCTCATCGTCCTGATGATGGAGGCGGCAATGACCTCTAAAACGTTGGTAAACGTGTACCACACAACACGGCGCTACAACCCAGAACACAGCGATGAAAACCTCAAATCCTACTTATGAACGCTAGGTTAAGTTTCAAAGTTCTCTAACGAAAGTCTACGTGGATCAATCATTAAGATCAGTATAACCAAAGAAAAATGTATTCTTACCTCTGTTATGAAATTACTAAGAAATTAATATGGTTAAATATGCTTTGTGTTAGCTTTTTTAAGCTTTTAGCACGTTTATTATCGGTGTTATTGTACTTTCGACCATTTTACAAGTTAGTGTTGAACTACGTTTAGAACAACCACAAAACGGTCATTATTAGGATTACTAAAACCTTACGAAATCTATTGCACATCTTCGATGCAAATAATAGTAATTTATTTCATTTTGTCGATGATAAAATTATGTATAAAACATATATAATACGTTAGTGTTATGTTTTCCATAATAGTTGCAAAAATTGAAAGAAATGTAAGTCCTTTAATAGCATAATATTAGTAGGCAAAGCTCGTGCTTCAATTAGGCATAAACAGTAATGTTCAACCGTTTAACTGGAGGTCTTTCAGTCACGTCGGGCATTTAAATAAGACGTGTTGCCTGAAAAGACTTCTTCACAGTCCCGAGTACTAGCCATAATAATTTACCACTCTAAATAATGACTTAAAATTGATGGTGGTATAAAATAATAAATCTCTTCAAACACAATGTCCATCACTTTAACGACTGCCTGTTTTACATTACCATTAATGGTAAAATGTTCACGTGGATTATTATCACACATATCAGTCGGTCGACTCATTTGCAAAAGTTCATACTCCGTATGCATTGTTTATCAACAAAATTTGTAATTCATTCCGTCACTTACAGAACATTCAAAGAGTGTAATTTCGTAATAAATAACACACAAAGAAAAGGCTGAGAAATGCATTCAATTCGTTCATATCGCATTTTCACGACCACAAACCTTTCATAATCTGATCGAGACTTGAACTAGGTACCCTTCGGAAGAGGTCAATACCCTTGACACAAGACCAAATTAGCGTCTCGCACGCGCAATGTGTGTTTTTCTGTTTCGTGTTAGACACTTTCTACTTACACCGTACGAGAAAATGTTTTTTTTTTCAGACGCTAATGATTAAACAGGAATTTATTCTCTGCAAGATTATACTTATAGAAAAGTATGGATCGAATACTAAACTTTGTTTGGTATTCGAAGTTAATAGAACAGAATGCTAGAGGAAATATATCGACCTAAGAGAGATGAAACAAGAAAAGCCTGCAGAGAAAACACCTTCACATCGCACGTCCTTCAATAAATACAGGGTGTTCAAATTGAAAAGAATAAGCCGGGACGAACATATGGATCTGTCATGACTTACGTAGTTGCAAAGTTAAATAACGCAACGATCAAACAATGAAGCCACTGAAATTTCAAATTTTAAAATTTATATTTTTAATTTATTTTCTAGCTCGAAATGAGTTCTGTTCATAATACGATTAATTTTTACTTCGAATTGCGTGTACTACATACATGTTAACATTAATGTAGTAAGAACAATATTCAAATGTTATCAATCCATTTTAAAATACAACTGGGACTTTTCATATAATTCAACAGGACCTCATCATTAATTTAATATCGTGCAAGACCGAAATACCCATGATTTAAGTTAATCTTAGTCTTGAATGTTCCCAGATGTGTGATTCAGAATAACATGATTTTAATATTCCACGTAACACATTCACTTAATGTTTCTTTACATATTCATTGTTCTTCTAATTGTAAAATTTGTCCTGGTATAATAACATGTTATAAAATTTCGCGCATATCTTCGGAACCAAATGACGTAATATAATTTGGCAAAACTCAAATACATTTCTTCCTACAGATAAGTCTGGACTAGTCTCCAGTCTGTGCATAGTTTGTGACTTAGTTTGTAAAAATATAAAATAAAAGGAAGATGCAGTTAATAAAATTCCTTATAAAATTTCCAGAGGTTTCACATCCAGAGTCTTAAAAGAAACGAGACATGTCTTAGAAACAAAACCAAAATTCTTCCCATAAAAGATAATAATTCTGTGAGACAAGCTAATTAAAATGGAGGGTGGGACAATGTCTTGTCAACAAGACAAAAAATTAAAAACAGCCTCATATAACACCAGTGCCGCAAGAAACAATGTTATTTTATTAACCTTCTAAATATTACACCTGACGAAGTATTTCAGCGCACGAAAAATAAACTGATGGTCTACTTTAACATGCATGGTGATATGTTTTTATTATATGAATGCGAATTCAGATGGGGATAAGATATGGAACGGAAATAAAACGAGAAAATGGGTTGAAAAGGCTGTAGGAGAGCGGAAACAGCATGCTCGCTGACTTCCTGACATTGCAAACTGAAACAAATTGTGACGTCACTTCATCTCCCTTCGTTATAAAAAAAATATATAAAATGTAACGCGATTCTGAAGCCTATACCTAGTAAAGTTACGAGGAGAATCGCGGATAGGGGCGAGAAAGGAATACGAGGAGGAAAGGACTGAAAGGGAAATGCAATCTCTGCTCAGACCGGTTATAACTTCCTCCCGCACCATTTCTGTCATCTGACAAATGACGAACGATACGCGGACAGACAGATATTGCATTACGGGCCAAGTCTGCTTCGTTATGGCTGACAGCAGGCTCGTGGTGATAGCCCTCTGGTAGCTACGTCGCGAAACTGCTCTGTTTTAAATCGCAACACACTGTACCTTGCGCAAATCTGAGTCATAGTAACTCGTAATTCCCTTATTTATTCATCCGACTAATTCTGCATCAACATTGGCTGAAATTAGCCTACCGAAACAATTTTGAGTTCAGTTCGTTTGTCTACAGTCACGTCCCAAAGAACAGCTCTATCTGTGACTTAGGAGTGTATCTACTCTTTTGAGAACTAGCTAGAGGCTTATTGTCCTTACGCACTGCATCGAACCTGACGACTGGATGTGAGGCCAGTTCTCACACGAAAGCAAACAAACACTTTCACTTTCCATGTTACGTTACATTATGTTAAGTACACTACCGAACATATCATTTAAGGGAACAGCGTTCAATATATTTTTACATTAAGGAGTTAAAGTACGAACTGCCAATACAGAGCATACATATATTTTTAGAACAGTAAAACCATTCAAAAATCCCCACGGAAATTCTGTAGAAACAGCAGAACATTTTCTGACATAAACCACCATTTCACATGGAAATTCAGTAACATAACGCAAAAGTTGGACAAATTCGATAGACGGCTTGGAACAGAGAATCAATAGTCAATTAGACCTACATATTCGAGCCTTATTAGTTCTATAACTATACAGCACAGTAAAAATAAATAAATTTCCTTAAATATAAAACTCAAATAAAGAGAGTGACGATATAAAATAATTCTATATCTATTTTAAATTTCGATTTCTTGTTACGTTTCTCGAAAAGCAGCCCTGGAGTGAGCCATGGAGATAGAGACAGCATGTTCCTATAAAAACGTTTGTGTTTACCACCAAGTTTACATCGCGTTAACAACGAAAATACCAACATCTACTTCGCTTTTAATACTGCAGTCCCTTGTAAGAGATGAGTTAAAAACTAACTTTAAAAGCAAAGAAAAATTGTTTCAGAATATAGAAAAGCGTAAAATTATTCTTCAATTCAATCTTAAATCAGTCGTTTAGGATGGACAGTGATACGAGCATTGGCTTCTTAAATTCAGTACAATAACACAGAAGGAGGGGAGCACCCCCACATAAGCCTAAGTTTTATATTTCAAAGAGACAAAGACGTCTTCTCATTAAGATACATATTTCTGTTATGTGACGATACTTAAAACAGATAAGCCAGAGCAATTTTGTCTTCTCATTTGCAAGTTGCTTGAAGTTAAGAGCTCCTTCCAGTTTCTTATTTATACTGTAATATTTATATTTCATTTTTCATCGCATAAAAGAATATTCTGTCTTGCGTGTTCTTATATAGTTCAGTAAGCTCTTCACTAGACAGCAATTCTTAAGCATACAATTTTCTAAAAAGCGGAGATGTATCCCAGTTTATTCCCTTTGTCAGGCAATGCCTGAGAGGAATGATGGGAATGAGGGGAATGATGATGGGGAATGAGGGTACTCGTTAAATTGCTGCTGGGATGGCGGGTTTATTCAAATCCTTGTATTCAGTGTGAGATATCAGAAAGAGACGCGAACAATATAAACAAGTCTACGTAGTAACATTTGTGAGCATTTAAAATTGGTTCTAAAGGGTTCCGAAGATGCTGTGTTACCGTTAGTGTTGCTGGATTGCCCAATTTCCTGAAAAGAATACAAAGTTCCGGAAACTTCGCCAGTTTCTGTCTTCCGGCTAAAAGTTGCGCAGTCCAGACGATGAGGTTAACCGTTTCTAATAACCCAAGTAGGGACTCCCCAATTTTTCACCTGAAGACGGAATTATATCCTGTCTCCGAAACGTTCAGAATACTGGAATTGGAAAAGTCCAGAAATCCAACAAATACTAGTTTAAATTTGGCTTCTATTTCAAGAATTTAAATGTTTTAATGAGTTTTACTCATCGGCTATTAAATGAGAAGTTGAATTTTTTAATCACAAAGCATTTAAAATTGTTGTATGAGTGTTTTAAATCTAAAAATTGAAAGCTTTACATAAAATTAACTTTTTTTAAAAATTTAAACATCGCAGAGCGTATATACTACAGTATCCATACTAACGATCACGCTGATGATGATGATAAAAATAATAACAATTAGAATAATAAATTATAAAAATTACGGCACTTACGGTTCTAACATAGTAAGAACAATAACAATACATAAGACAAATTATTGTTGCACACAGCTTCTCTTACCTTGATAATGTCCCCTTCACTCAGTATTACACATTGCTGCCACAAACGAGGTCGCAACAATCGAGTCCATATCCTGCAACTGAAATACCATAACGTTACTTTATTTTAAGGATTAGTTTAAAAATATGCTTAAATAAACTTGTATGCAGATACGTACAATTAAAAAAAGCAGTTTGGTGCTATTTAGTCATACAGCAAGACCATGTTATAAAAAGTTACGCATACATTTAAAGCCATTTTGCAACTATAAACTTCTCACTTTGCTGTAGATGACAAGAAAACAAGTTTAAATTGCAGAATAAAATATTCACCATGCAAAAACCTTTCTCTTAATTTTGTAGTGTTAATAACGGTTATTCATTAATTAAAATATGGGAATCCTACGTCATAAAGGTAGCATAGAACATTACATTCAAATTATTCAGAATTTCATTGTTTAAGTAGGCTTACGCCGAATTTTTATTTCAGTTAACATTTTTAATAACAGAAGACAGAAATCTTCATACTCACCGCTGTGAAAACCTCAAATCATACAATGTTTGTGTGTTAGGGTTTGGGGCTGATTGCCCCAACAAAAATCTCTTTCTTTTAAATACCGATAAGAGCAGAATAACCAATCTGGGTTTTTTTAAGAATTGGTTTCCTTGCGCTGGTTATTATCTGGCTTCAAGTTACCATCTCAACAAGGACTTGCCTTCAGAATTCAATTCACTTTATTTCTCTTATATTTTCATTTGTTTTCTATCAGGACAGGCAACCTGACACTGCCCATTGGCGAACGTAAGCCCTGGAGACTTTCTCGTATCAAAACAAAAAAACCATCCGATTGAAGATAAACAATATTCTGAAAAGGATTGTGTTGATCCATGAAACCAATGAAATTGTCTTTGCCTCGATTTAAAAAAAAACTCCATAACATTGCCGGCGCGTGCCACCTTGAGGCAAGATTACACATTTAACACACACATATACATGCATTATTACCAAATTACACTTCAAAAATAAATATAAACTATGAAGCAGTGAACATTTCGAATCAATCAGACATATATGAACTTAACTTACACAGCATTTCACCAATTTGGAATACAAAGTCAAGCATCTTTGAATCTACACCGTTCCATTTACAATCAATGCGATCGCCATGGTAATGAAGGTAGCAAGGACCTCTGAAACGTCGGTTAATATATACCAGAACTACATGACACAACGTCCCCAGAAAGTAAACATCTACAGACTCACAGAACTGAGGTCACGAAATCTCAACTGTACAGAAGTAATTACATTTCTATCCTGCATATTGAAAGGAATTAAACACACAGCACGCATTGCGTGTTTCTTTTTCAATATTTAACTCGCCGAATCCTCGAGAGATGTCTTCATGATTCGTGGATAAAGTGGGAAAACTTTTAAGCCAGTTGTATGATTTAAAAGATACAAAAATATTCCTACTTCACTTATAAAGACACAGCTCATGATTTAGGCGTTTTACTTAAGGTTAGGCAGAACATTTAATAAAGTGTCCTATTTTTTTTTTCTTAAGAAGCAACTTCACACTTCTTTAACTCGGCACTACATATAAGTGAGTGGCTAGCTTCAGGATCCAGCCACATTACTACCAAGGACCACGAGGAAACCTAGTCACTTGGTTAACTTGGCAGATGAGAATATAATATTAAATAAAGAGGGTATGAGGTTATGGACTTCATTCATTTGGCTTAGTACAGACACATGCCCGAAATTACTTGTTTGTATTACCCTGCGGTCTGCATAAACTTCAAAATATTCACATTCTAAAAATGAAAAATGTTTAACGTATCCCTATAATTATCCGTTCATTACACCACTGATCAAATTACGAGATGCGAGTGGGTGGGTGAGTTAATTATGGCACGATATTTTAATGTTTCCATAAATTAAATTATATAATTATTGAAAACTGCATACCTGCCCTCTGAAAAACGATTTCTGAAACAATAGTCTATTTTAAATCAATATTATATTTAATATCTCAGTGAAAGTGCTTCCACCACAATACAAATATTAAAAATTGTGGTAGTATTTTATTATTCAACATTTGAATTCCATAATAATCGTCTAAAATGGCTAAGTAGTTATCGATTTCTCATACGAGGCGCGTCCCAAAAGTAAGTTTCCCACTCGTCCCACAGCTAGCAAACCTTATATTGCGCGAAGCGACTGTGCGTACGTGATAGAGCAATGACGTAGCATGGCGCATGCACTAACGGCACTTCCCGCGTTCTCACAGTAGCATCGTTGCAGCTGTTGAAGATGGAGGTTCTTATTCCAGCTCCCGCCGACTGTGAAGTGCGGTCAGTGATAACGCTAGGCCGCACACGGCTCGACGGACAGCAAGTCTCCTGCAGGAGTTCAGCTGGGAGGTGTTTAATCATCCACCCTACAGCCCGGACCTCGCTCCCAGTGATTTCCATCTTTTCCTACACCTCAAGAAATTCCTGTCCGGTCAGCGTCAGCGTTTTGAGAATGACAGAGAGGCGGAGATGGCTGTCACACAGTGGTTCCAATCCCAGGCGGCAGACTTCTACGACACAGGTATTCAAAAGTTGGTCCCACGGAATGAC